GGGGGGGGGGGGGGGAAGAGGTGGGAAATGACTGGGTGGGGGCTGCTGGTGCAGGTTAGATCCAAAGCAGTGACCTCAAGGTGGGATCCACTGAGCCAGCCCCCCGCCCCGCCTTGAGAATTCCTCCCATGGGGGAGGGGAATGTCCCCCTTCTTCTGCATCGCTCACCCCGTACCCAGCTCCCAGCTCCCCCATCCTATGGCCCCCCCGTACCCAGCTCCCAGCCCCTCCATCCTCCGTCCCCCATCCCCAGCTCTCAGCCAATCCCCATCTTACCGCCCCCCCGTCCCCAGCTCCCAGCCAATCCCCCGTACCCAGCTCCCAGCCAATCCCCATCCTCCGTCCCCCATCCCCAGCCAATGCCCATCCTCCCGCCCCCCCGTACCCAGCTTCCAGCCCAACATCCTCCTGCCCCCCATACCCAGCTCCCAGCCACTGCCCCCTGCAACTTGAACCCAAAACCCAGCTCCCAGATGCCTCCCCTCCCCAGCTCACAGAGCCCCCTCCCCCCTTGAGCCCGATGCCCAGTTCCCAGCTGATGCCCCCCCACCCCTTTGACCCCCACATCCAGCAACCCCCATACCCAGCGGACGGCCCCCCGCCCCGTACCCAGGTCCATCTCCTCGAGGTCCCCGTACTCCCAGGCATCCTGCAGCTCCGAGCTCTCACACAGGTAGCCCTTGAGGCTGCTGATCATCTGGCGGATCTCCTGCAGCAGGTCGGTGCTGGTGGGGTGCCGGGCCGCCCCGCCCCGCAGCACGTGCCCCACGAAGTTCTGCACCAGGCCCCCCACGTAGGAGGCCGGCTCCTGCGTCAGCTCCTGGACCCGCTTGGCCAGCCGGCGCTCGGCCGAGAGGAAGCTGGTCAGGGCGCTGCCCACGGCCGACAGCCGGTGCAGGACCCGGCCCGGCAGCGCCGCCGATTGGTGCTTCTTGCGGGGCGTGGCCGGGTGGGCGTCGGCCTCCTCTTCCACACTGCTGACCGACAGCGAGTCCAGCTCGGGGATGGGCGGCAGGAGCAGGCTGTCCCGGGGGCCCAGCAGCGAGGACTCCGAGTGGGACTTCTTCAGCGCCCAGGGGGCGTCCGAGGCCCCCTCGATCCAAGAGACCCGGTGCGGGGAGGCCGGGCCCTCCTGCCGCTCGGCCGGCGGCGGGGACGACGAGTCCTCGGACATGTTCCAGGCCGGCCGGCGCACCAGCAGCTTCCGTTTCACGGAGGCCGGGGGGGCATCATCACCTGCTGGGGAGAGCGGGGGCGCTGAGGGGCTGGGGTCTCGTTCCCCCAGTGGCAGCCCCCTAGAGCGCGTTGCCCCGGGCAACGCCCCATAGAGGACGGGAGTCCCAGGATAACAACCTACTACAAGGCTCGCCGTAAAAGGGAGCAACTCCTTCTAGTCTAGGGGCTCTGGGGTGAGGAATTTACCCCTACCCCCGATCCTGAGTGCAGGGCAATTCCACCCCCCAGGAGCCTGCAATATGGGGGGGGGACCCCTGTGGGAGAGGGGAAAGGGAGCGGCCCAGGCACTAAAGGTCAGCCAGGGTGGGCGTGTTACCCAGATGCCACAACCCCACTGCGTCCCAGCACCCGCCCGGCCCCAAGCCCGATCCCAACAGCTCCACCCCCAAACTGGTAGGCTGCTGGTGCTGACCTTTGCCCTGCTCCCCCTCTTTCCCGGGCTCCGGGGCTCCCAGCTGGTCCGTCTCGGTGGCGGCGGGCGCCAGCGGCTTGTCCAACAGGCCGGGCCCCTGCCCGTTCCTCAGCCGGATGGTGCCCCCTCTCTCGGGCGGGTGGAATGGGGGCGGCACCCCGGCGGGGAGCCAGCCCTCGCTGCTGTGCTCCGACAGGAAGAGCGGGTTGATGATGCAGAGTGCCCCGTCCTCCGACGTCACCCGGATGCAGCAGGCCGGGCCACTCCTCTCCGGGGAGCTGGGGGGCTCGGGGCTGGACCCCATGTTCTCTTCCTCCTCCTCGCCTGAGGCCGACGGCTTAAAGGGAGGACTCCAGAACCCTGCCAGGGACACCGGGCAGCAGGAGACAGATGTGAGCCCCTGGGCAGACGGAACCCAGCTGGGGGGGGTCCGCTCTGTGTGCTGAGGGTAGGACACAAGTACCTTTCCTGCCCCACTGTCATGCTCTGGCACTTACTAGTTAAAGTGGGGTGAAGTGGGGAGGAAGCCAGGACTCCTGGGTTCTATCCCAGCTCTGGGAGGGGAGTGGGATCTAGTGGTGAGAGCAGGGGGGGCTGGGAGCCAGGACTCCTGGGTTCTGTCCCCAGCTTGGGGAGGGGAGTGGGGTCTAGTGGTTAGAGCAGGGCGGCTGGGAGGCAGGATTCCTGGGTTCTCTCACCCGGCTCCATACAGAGGTTGGACACTGAGCCGACCTGACCCCATTCCCCCCTCCCCCGAGTGAAGGTGTCTGGCTTCCTCGCGGAGGCCCTGGCTGGGGGTGAAATCGCCCTCGGGTGGGCACTCACTCATGCCCAGGGCCGCGCAGGCGTCCAGCTCGGCCCTGCCGAGGCGTTGCAAGGTAGCTGGGAGCCGCAGCGGGAGGGGCAGCACGTCCCTGTAAGCAAGAGAGACCAGGAGCCAGTTAGCGGAGGGGCTGCAGGGAGACGGGGGAGTGCATCAAGGACCCTCCCGATGCCCACACCGGCCAGGGCCCTGCCCTCCTGGCGCCAACCAGCCCCCCCGGATGCCTGCACCGGCCAGGGCCCTGCCCTCCTGGCGCCAACCAGCCCCCCCCGGACGCCCGCCCCGGCCAGGGCCCTGCCCTCCTGGTGCCAACCAGCCCCCCCCGGACGCCTGGAATGGAAGAAGCAGGGGTGCCGCGGGGGAGGGACATGCCCCACACTGGGCAGCTGCAGGAGGAAGTCACCGTGGCCACCCTGCCCCCACCCCCGCAGCTTCCTCAAACCCAGGCCAGCGCCCATGAATTCCACTTCCCCGAACGCTGCGCTAGATGTCGGGGATGCCCCCACCCCTGAAGGGCGCACCTCCCCCATCACGCACCCACATCCCCTCGGCTAGGGTGCTTTTCACCAGAAATGGGGTGGGGGCAAGTTACTGGGTCTTTAAGAGTTGAGTGGGGTGGGGGTGGGGAGTCAGGAGTCCTGGCTCTAACCACTAGACCCAACTCCCCTCCCAGAGCTGGGGCAGAACCCAGGAGTCCTGGCTCCCAGCCCCCCTGCTCTAACCACTAGACCTCACTCCCCTCCCAGAGCTGGGGTAGAACCCAGGAGTCTTGGCTCCCAGCCCCTAACTGATAGAGGCAAAGGCCCAGCCCTGGGGACAGGAGAGCAGAGACTCAGGGGCAGTGTCACCTGTCCCCTCCCGTTCCCCCCTCCCCCCCAGCCCCGCTCACCTGCTCACGGAGAGGAAGGCAATCAGTTCCAGTAGGCCCAGGAAACGCAGTTGGGACCCTTCCAGGCAAACAGCTGGAAGAGAGAGAGATGGGGTCTGAGACACAGAGCAGGCCCCCAGGTGCTGGGGGGGGGGGGGCTCCAGGGGGCTCGCCCGACAGCAGAAGCCAGCGGCAAGTTTTCCCCAGTCGGGAGAGTCTCTTGAGCTCTTAAGAAGCGGCTTGTTCTGGGGTGGGGCACATCACAGGTCAGGTCGGTTCCAAAGTGTGAGGGGGGGGCGGGATCTGAGTGACAAGGCCTCCAGTGCCTGACCCGCTCCCCAGTTTGTGCTCCCCGTAGCACCAGACTGCCAAAAACCCTCCCTGATCCCCTGTGCCCGATGGTGAATCAGAGGGGAGTAGATTCTAGTGGTTAGAGCGGGGTGACGCGGAGGGTCCACGGCAGAGCCGCGGCAGCCCCCCAGCTGGGGCTGGGAAGGAGGGGGGTCTCTCCCCGGCAGCCACAGCCCTGGAGCTGGGGAAAGTCGTCTCTTTCTCTGCCCGCCGCAGCCCTACACGACCCAAATTCCCCCCAACCCCTCTTCTCACCCCACTGCCCCCTCCCACCTACCCCCTACTCCCCCCAAGGCCACCACTTCACCTTACACAGGCGTCTGCTGGGTGGCCCGTCATTCTCTCGTGTGCGGCCGCCCAGGGAACAGGGGCCCAGTCCAGCCCTTAGAGGGAACTAGCCATGGACCACAGTTTGAGAACCTCTGCACCAGACCCCACTCCCCTCCCAGAGCTGGGGAGAGAACCCAGGAGTCCTGACTCCCAGCCCCCACCCCCGGCTCTAACCACTATCTGTCATTGTCCGGCACTTGTTTAAATCAGGTACAAGCCTGGGCTCCCAGTCCTGGTCCACACCGACCCCTCAGGGGCAAGCCCGAGGCCCTGGCTGGCTCCAGCGTGGCCGTACCCCGGTCTGTTCCCTTCAGGACTGCCCCGAGCAACCCCACCTGCCCCCGCCCCGGGCACAGAACACGTCTGCTGAGATCGGCAGAGATAAGCTGCCCCGACTCTTCCTAGAAGCGAGGAGGAAGCTACGAGAGGCCGCCCTGATGCCAGGGCAGGGTGGGAGCGTGGGCCCGGCTGGGGCCTTCACATCACTAACCCAGGGGCTGACGGAGGTTCTGGCTGGGGATAGAACCCAGGAGTCCGGGCGGGGGGATTTTTTTTATCCACCTGCTTGACCTTGGGCCCAGATCAGCCATCGCTCTGTGCCTCAGTTTCCCCCCCAGCGAGCTCTGCACCAAGCTCCCCGCACTGCGCCTTCTCCACCTCCGGCAGCTGCCTCCTCTCCCCAGCAGATTCACAGTCCCCCACCCTTCCAACACCCCCAGCCATGAGATGGCCACAACCTGCAAGCGCCCTGGGCTGTCAAGCCAGATGCACCTTTGACATAGACCTGGCAGGGGCACCGGACAGGGAGCTCGGACACCTGGGTTCCATCCATCCTCGGCTCCTTCACCAGGAAGAAGGAAAGGAGTTGCTGACTGGGAATGGGAACCCAGGAGTCCTGGATTCAATCCCTTTCCCTGCTCCCGCCCTCTGTATGACCTTGGGCCAAGAGCGGTCATCTTCCCGTGCCTCAGTTTACCCCATCTATCCTAAAAAGGGGGATGATTTAACCTCCCCACTAAGATGTCGTAAAGGGGGGAAACTGAGGCACAGAGAGGGGAACAGAATTGCTCAAGGCTACAGAGTGAATTAGGAAAAAACAACCAGGAGTCCTGGCTCTCAGCCCACCCCCCTGCTCTAACTACTAGACCCCACTCCCCTCCCAGAGCTGAGGAGAGAATACAGGAGTCCTGGCTCCCAGCCCCCCCTGCTCTAACCACTAGACCCCACTCCCCTCCCAGAGCCGGGATGGAACCCAGGAGTCCTGGCTCCCAGCCCCTCCTGCTCTAACCACCAGACCCCATTCCCCTCCCAGAGCCAGGATGGAACCCAGGAGTCCTGGCTTCCAGCCCCCCATTCTAACCACTAGACTGAAGTCCTCCCTAGCTGGGCGCTGCCCTTTCCTGCCCCACATACCTCACCAAGGAAGCATGAGTTGGGCAGGGGTGAAGCTCAGAGGCTGGTGCTGAAACCCAGAGCAGCATTGCCACCGGGAGCAGCCGGCTGCGTCCTGGGGGGTGGGTGGGTCTAGTCCGCAGCCCCTCCCCGGGGTCCCCAGCATGGCATCAGATCCTTCCCCCTCCGGGCTTTTGCTAGAGCTGGGCCCTTCCCTTTTCTTCTACAGCAGGAGGAAACGACGTCACAGACCTCAGGACTTTATGGGCCCGTTGTATCATCCAGCTGCTGTCGAGGCAGTGGGGACTAGTGGTTAGAGCAGGAAGCACTGACGTCTGGACTCCTGGGTTCTATCCCCAGCTCTGGGAGGGGAGTGGGGTCTAGTGGTTTGAGCCAGGACTCTTGACTCCCCACCCCCACCCCACTCAACTCTTAAAGACCTAGTAACCTGCCCCCACCCCAAGTCGGGTGAAAAGCACCTTAGCCGAGGGGATGTGGGTGCGTGATGGGGGGAGGTGCGCTCTTCAGGGATGGGGGCAGCTCTGGGAGGGGAGTGGGGCTAGTGGCTAGAGCAGGGGGGGCTGGGAGTCAGGACTCCTGGGTTCTCTCCCTGGCTCTGGGAGGGGAGTGGGGTCTAGTGGTTAGAGCCGGGGGGCTGGGTTCTATCCCTGGCTCTGCTGACGCGCTGCATGAGCCCAGACATGTGGCTCCCGGGGGCTGCCCTGACGTACCCGAGCCGTCCTCCTGGATCTTGAAACAGCAGACGCCTCTGGCTCCATGCCCCTCTCCGCTGCTCTGCACCGACAGCGCCTTGAGCTCCCCGCTCCCCGCGCCGGTCACCAGGAATGTCTGGGGATGGGAGAGAGTTTGGCGGGTTTGGAAAGGAGCAGGCCGGCAGGTCTGGGTGGGGCACCAGGGCCTGGCTTTGCAGGCCGGTTTGTGGGTCCCCAGCTGAGACGGGGGGGGGGCGGTTTGGCTCTCTCCACGCCCCACAGGGCCTTGGTTTGTCCCCGAAGCTTGCAGTTCCCAGTCTGACCCCTGCCAGCCAGGAATGGTGCTAATGGTGGCCCCAGGGCATTAGCCACCCCAGTGCCAGCCCTCCACGGGGAAGGAGTGAGGAAAAGGGGATGGTGTAGCCCCAAGCCCCCCAGCCGCCACCTTCCAGCCCCACCCACCTTCTGACCCCACCCACCTTCCAAGTTAAAGCCCTGCCCATCTTAGAGCCACACCCACCTTAGAGCGCCACCCAGCCACCACCTTATAGCCCCGCATGGTCCCACACCCACTGGCCAGCCACTTACCCCAGGCGGCTGCATCCTCAGCAACTCCGTGGCTTGCTCCGGGCCCAGGCCAAGCAACTGCCAGAGCCCCCGGGTCAGCAGGAGCCTGTCCAGGAGCGTCAGGGGGGGCGGGGGCTGGCCTCCCGCCGGGGCCTGGTGCTGGCCATTCTGCAGCAGGCGCTGGGGGCTGCACGCAAACACACGAGAGGCATTGAGTTGGGGGTGGGCATCGGCCACGCCTTGGGGGTACGTCCAGCCAATGAGAGGGGGTGGCGGTGCCTCTGGCTCGCGTCCCATTGGCCGATGTGGCAGCGCTGTCCCGGCTCCTGCTCGTGTAGTTGAATTTAGCGGGGCATGAAAAGCCGCGGCTGGGTGTCCCGGACGCCTGGGTTCTAGCTGGTCGCAGGAGATCCCAGCCCAGCCCCACAGCTCCTCAGAGCAGGAGGTGGGGGTGTTCTCTACCCCCCTGCCCAAGGCAAAGACCTCTCTGCACTGTATCTGTTCCTAAGGACCTTAGCAACCACTGGAAATACACATGCACACGCGGGTCGAGCATTTAAGGCGCTGGATGGCACTCAGGGTCAATCCCCAGCTCCCTGGGTGAGGCATGGCATCGCGCCGTGCCTCAGTTTCCCCACTTGTAAACAGGCGCCACATCCCTTCTCCTTTGTCTAGTTAGATGGCAAACTCATTGGGGGCGCATGTACAGTGCCGGGCACAATGGGGGACCCGATATCTGGCGGGGGGAAAGGAGGGGGTGCTGCTGCACCTGGCATGACAGGGGGACCCCGATCTTGGTTGGGGAGGGTCTGTGCGGTGCCCAGCACCATGGGAGGCCCCTATCTTGGTCAGGGGGGTTAGTGCAGCTCCCAGGATAACAGGATCCCCCCCCAACCTAAGTGGTGGGGGGGATCAGGCCAGGCCCTGGCATGATGGGGGGGGGACAATCTTAGTTGGGGGGCTCTTTGCAGTGCCTGGCATTAGAGGTGCCCCGGTCTCAGTGGCGGTGTCTAGTGCTACTGTAATATTTTATATCACACCCCATCAGGATTGACGGGGGGGACCCTAGTATCAGCCCCCCCCCAAATCTGTAACTGGGGTGAAAGAGGGGGGTAGGGCCCCAGCATACCTGATGAACCAGGGGCCCCAAATTTCTCTGCACCCCGTAACCATAGAGTTGCTCCCTTTCCCAAGGCTGCTCTGGCCCCAACTTGGACCCTAAACGTTGCCAAACGGAGCCGTAAGCTACAGAGAATCGCTTCTCCTGGTGCCGAGCTGCGCATGGGACGGACGGACACACACACACCTCCCCTGCCTCCTGCGAGGGACGCCTACCCAGCCCCACTGCGAAAGGAACGCGGCTCCACCACGTGACGGCTCCCTCCACCCACACACCCTTTGTAACGGCTGAAAAAGCCACCCAGCCACGCTCTCCTCCCCCCAGCCCACCATGGCGGATTTCCAGGCCTCTAGGGACTGGGGGGAGGTGAAGGCCCCACCGTGGGGGGCTTCCCCGAAGCCAATGGCCTGAACATGCGTTCAAAGGGCTCCCTGAAAAGTGTGTAAACGGGGGGGGGGGGGGGGGATACCACCCCCCCCCCCCCCCCCTCCCCCCCCCCCCCCCCCCCCCCCCC